TACAGGAATCCGAAAGTAGCTCCTTGCTTTTGCAGTACACTCTTACATTTTTTTTTTCTCAAAGTAGAAATAACATCTTTTTTGAGAAGTGTTAATGTAAAATGGGTCTTGTTAATATACCTTTATTCAATTTTCTACCAAGATATCTTTTTCATAATTTCCCTTTTAGTGAAACTATGTTGTAAATTTGAGGATATGGTTACTTTAGACTTTGGAGGTTTCTATCGTTGGTAAAGCTATTGTTTGACTTGGACTCGAATGCAACATTTCAACTTCTCAAAGTTTTGGAAATAGCAGAGTAATGCATGGAATTCGGTTTTATTGTCTTTGGATGTTTCTATGTTTTAGAAGAATGAGTAGCTGTTTTTATACATGGTGGATTCGGTCATAAAACAACTACTAAGAGAGAATTGGAATACCAGTTTTATAATGCTGCATCATTGACTGAATTACCCGGCAAAGCAACCGATCTGAGAATCAAACTATCCAAAAAAAAGGAAAAAAATTATCAACATGATCCCTTTCTTTTTCATTTTCATGATGACTGCAGCCTTCTAGTTTTGTTAGTCGTCCTTGATTTGGGCATTGCTTCTGATCAGTCTCATTTTGCTAGTGCATTCCAATTCTTTGCAACGTCACTGCCGACTTTCTTCTAAGTTGAAACTATTCTCCTTTTCTCCCCTAAGGCGATCAAATTAACGGTGTGTTTAGATTGAAGGGAGAGAAAAGAAAAGGAAAGTAAAATAAACGAAAGTAAATGAAACAAAACTCACATTTTTTTGTTTGAATAAATATTTAATTTAAAAAAAAAAAGGTTGGAAACCAAATAATCTTTGATTTTCTTGTAAATTCAATTTTTTTAATATCCCAATTTAGAGAAAAAATTAGGAAAAGGAAAGTTGAAAATTTTCTTTTTATAAAAAAATTATTATGTCAATCTTTTTATTAATATTAAAAATCTAATAAAAAAACTTAAGTAGATCATAATCATTCTATAATTTTTTTAAAACCGTCTACTTTTTCAAGTAAGTTTCATATATATCTTTCAATATAAAATTTTTTTTATAATTTTTTAGTGATTTGATTTTGATGAATGATTGAATACAAATAGATATATTTTTTGAGTTTATGAAATGTCAAACTAGCTGAAAATTCATCAATGCATATTTGTAAAATGTTTTCTTGTTTCACTTGATTAAAAATAATTGATATAACAATAATTGTGAGGTCAGACAAGATAACAAATATATTATGATCTATGAATGCTTTAAAATCACAGGTAATAAAAATTTATAATTAAAAAAATTATTATAATAAATAATTTTTTTCACTCTTTAACCAAATAATAATTATTAACATTTTTTTTTATTTTTTATTTTTATTAATTTTAATTATCCAAACAATGATTACATATATCATTTTTTTCTTTAAAATTTTTTTTATTAATATTTATTTAAATATAACGTAAAGTAAATGTACATTAGGTGAATCATAAATTCTAACGAAACCATTAATTATACATGAGACCAGCTTTCATCCCCATGGAATCTCCCTTCACTTGTTGTAGTCATTGGCCCCAGACTGGTAGGCCTAATAATCTATCGCCCAAGTCCATCATATATGAAACTGGACCAAGATGTTGGCCCTCCTCGTGAGTTTCAACTTTATATCAAGGCTAAAAATCTTCAAATCTCTTGATTCCAATTAATGATTTAGAATTCAACTTTGAAGCGGTAGCATTGTAGATCCAGAAATTGTAAATATTTAAGCTTCGTTTGGTTGGTACACGAAATCTTAATGTGACACGAAGTTGCAGTACAAATTTATTTATGAAAATTTCAGGTCGCGTTAAAAATCCTGCTCCTTGAACTGGATCTGCAGATAGCTTTGCACCTCATTGGCTGCATGTTCTCCTCCAAACTTATTGCTTCCCTCCCCCACTCCTATCTTGTTCTCTATTGCTTCAATAGTTTAGGCCCACTCCCTTGTTTGGTTTCTTTCCTTTCTGTCCTGGAAACTATAGAAAATTTTGTTTGAGGAAGATGGGTTTTTTCTTTAATTTTCTAATAATAACCAAGGCGAAAATGACACATTGACATAATTTGATAATGTCTATTTACGAGAAGAATAATGTTACGTACAAGGCTAAATGCTAAGGAAGATAGGACAAGGTTGTCTGAAAGGATATGGGGCTCCCCTCCCTCTAATAGGACACTTATATTGTGGGTTTCATGGGTGGCATTTGCTAACGTTTTATCCGACCATTCCTAGTGGAATTTATCCTAAAACCGCTGTAGTTGATGTGCAATCATTGACAGAGATTGCTGCTTTTTCAGCCATTCCCATCGCTGATAACATGGATCAGAGCAATCTTTTTGTTGGTCAAGAACTTAATAAGGGAGTTCTTTTAGTTTATGTGCAATTTGCTTAATGATTACAGTTTAGCTGAATTTGAGGATGCCAACAATGTGCGGATGGAAAGTGTAATGAGAAGTCGAGGAAAAAAATTTAGGCTTTGATTGAGTACATCGATCGAAAATATTCTATTTTCTTGATTATCAGTACATGCTAATGCAGATAGTACATATAATTAATTCTTTAATTATACTAAACAAATGGATATGATTATATACAGAGAAACTTGAAAAATCTGACCTAGAGGCTGTACAAAATTATAAATAAACTGATTAAATGTTGAGTCGTCCTAGCTAGCATTGATGAAGGTCATTTAATTTATGGGTCCATCTCCTTCTGAAGTTCTTCTTTGAAATAGAAATTATTATTATTATTATTTTATTTAAGAAGGAGGAGGAGGAGGAGGAGGAGAGTAGGAGGAGGAGGGTTTGGATGGAATCTCATAATGTTGTTGGTTTGCCCTGGATTATTTTATTGGGTAGGCAAATGCTTTTAATAATGAGGAGTAGACATGTGCAAGGCTAGAAATATAATTATATACATACACCGTGTTTTGATCCAACAACGTACTTGATCTGCCATACGTTAAGTTGGTCAATTACAGGAATTTTTTTCACCTTGGTCAACACTTATAACACGTACCAGGTGTATGAGATCGAGGTATATGTCTTATAACTGGTAACCAAATAAGAATCTCCCAACGATAAGAAATTATTACATAGAAAAGAAAGAGACAATAAATGATAATAAAATTCATTCTTGAATAATCAAAAGCTGGTAGATATTGAATCAGTTTTGAATTACAGTTTTTTTTATAAAAAAAAAAAGAAAATTTTGTAGATATTAATCTGCATATAGTATTTTCAAAAGAATGTTTTAGAAGATGAATTAAAAAGATCTTAAATATATGTCCTAATTTTAGAGTAAATAAATTCTTATCAACATCATCTTTAACATGCGATTAAAGGAGGATAGTTTTATAAAATATTCATGCACTTTAAAAAGAACAGCCTAAAAAAATATGGTATTACAATTAATTAGCTAGTTGCTACTTAATAATTTCACACAATGGCACGCATAAGAAATGTAAATGCTTCAATTATAGCATGCTTTAACCTTTTATGCTTCAATCATAACATGCTTTTCTTATGTCTAACAACAACAAGTTACATTAATTAGGAATTTAGAATCATAACCAGAAATTGTTAATGGAGTTGGTAGTGTAATTGGAAAGAATCGGTGGTTTAAATTCATGTTTTTTTTTTTTTTTTAACAATTTGCAAACAATTGTATTATATATTAGTAGAAACAATCTTGACTGTCAAATTGACATTAAGATTCTAGGCCGATGAACCAAATCAAAGCTACTTCCCTAGTTCCAACCTTTCACTGTACCTCACATGGGGTACCGGTCAACTCTACGCACCCGACAAAAATTGTTCATCATCCTATTACTTGGCAAACAATAATAATAAATTTGGTGGAATCTAACATTATAATAATATTTGGCCTCTTGGGAAATCGTTGAAATTTGAGATTCATTTTAATCAAGAAACATTAAAAAAATTTAAACGAGGGACTACTATTAGTTATGTATGTATCAATTTTTTTTAAGACAAAAAATGTGAAACATATGAATTTCTTTCCTCAAATTTTGATAATGTTCACTTATAGAAGCAAACAGTTAAAGGCTTCTTCTAGATAACAAAGTGACCAAATGTTGGGAAGATTTTCTTTCCGTTATTTTGTTACTTTTCATAGGCAGGTGCCAAGATGTGATTGGTTATTGGTTAAACCTAAACCTTCCCATAATTATTGTTTTGCTTCAGATTTGGTTTTGCATTTCAGGTCAACCAACGAACTTTTTGAAATTTTGGTTCACTTCGTTTTCTCGCCCTCAATATCTGTTCTCGGTGAAATTTCATGGAATCGTAAGCCATACTTCAATATTTTTTTTATAATGCGATAACTTTCAATTTTATAAAACAAAAATTTTAACATAAAAATATAAAAAAATCATAAATATTATGATTTAAAATTTAACTTTATTAAACCTCAAATTCTTCAACCCACGTCAAAGTTTCAATTTTTTTTTCGTATAATACCGGGTTTAATTAGTTAAACTAGTTAACTAATTCGTAATTCCAAACATGACCAATAGAAATATGACAAGAATTATCAAACAAAAGACTTGCTTTTTTTCCATTTGACGTGTTTCGCTTTATAGCATCAATGTAACATGTAGAATCTAAGACAAAATTAACGATTCATACGACCGCTATACTTTTATTTCCAAAAAAATGTCCATTAATATTTCATTGTGAATTTGTGATTCAATAGAAAAAAATTTAAATTATTTATAGGATAAATGAACACAAAAGAAAAATAGAACAAAAGCCTTCTAAATTCTAATTGAAACCGAAATTTTAGCTTGAATTTGTTAAGATAATCATCATCATGCTCACCACTTTCCTTCCCTGAAAGCCCTGTCCGGTAATTTCACACACACCCCTTTCTCCGAGTCATTCGTTTGAAGATCGAGGTCAATTCCGTCTTTTCAACCAACAAAATTTGGCATACTGAACTGTTGACTGTGGTTACGGAATGATTTCGAGAGAGTGGCTTGCAGTGTTGGTAATGTCCTCTTCCTCTTTCCTTCACTCTCGGCAGTTAAGCTGCTCCAATCTCTCCACCAACTCTTTTTCACCTCTTTCGCAAAACCAAACTAAAATACTTGAAATATAATAATTTATTCATTCATTTCATTTTTAAATTCATTCAAAGTTGTAGTAATATATATATATATATATATACCTACGCTGCTTCTGTTTGTGCATAAATCTTCTTTTCTTTTTTTCTTTCTCTTGAAATATTTGAGAGAAATATCGAAAATGCCTCTGGTTAGAGCTCAGGTGAGGAATGAGTACGGGCTTGGTCAACCGGAGCTTTACAAGAAAGTTAATAGAGAAGATCCTAAAGCTGTTCTCGACGGCGTCGCCGTTGCCGGTCTCGTTGGGATCTTGCGCCAATTGGGCGATCTTGCTGAGTACGTATACTCTTTTGTTCGGTTAATCGGCTTTACAATCTCAAATTTTTTCTCTGTTTAGTTGCATACTAAGTAGTTCAAACATTTAGTACAAATTGAAAGCCAAAAGAGTTTGAGTAATACTTCTTTAATAATTATTTGCTTTTAAAATTTCGATGCTGTGACTTTGATAATTAATTGGTGTGGTTTGGTTGCTATTCTGTAGATTTGCAGCTGAGGTTTTTCACGGATTACAAGAGCAAGTAATGAGCACAGCTTCTAGAAGTCATAAATTGATGATTCGTGTGCAACGAATTGAAGCTGCGCTTCCGCCAATTGAAAAGTCTGTTCTTGCCCAAACAAGTCATATACACTTTGCTTACACAGCTGGTATGGCCTCTGTATACTTCTTTTGCTCGAAAAGCCTCTGATTTTCCTGGTAGATAATGGTTCTTTTACATTGTTTTTGCCATTACAGAGATATATGAATTCTTTGCACGCTACTTTATCTTGTTTTTTTTAGTCATTATGTATTTGAGTACCAGCAAGACATAGACCGTAAGTTCACTGATAGACATAACATTAGAGCAAAAAGAAATCTTTTTTTTTTTTTGCTTGAAGCTTAAATAGTCAATAAGAACTTAATTTCTAGAAGAAACTCGTTTGTACTCAATCAGATGGTATCAGTTGCCAGTTTCTGCTGGCACTTGAAGCAGTTTTCATGTAAGGAGACCACTATATTGAAAGTAGATCTATGGCATTGGAAACATGTTCAATGGAAAAACACGTTTTATTCAATTAAATCATGGGAAGGTTTACATTGATTTCAGACTAATGGACCTTGAAATATTTCAAAATGTTTATTTTATCAAATTTATATATTTTTTTGTTGCACATAATATGTATATTTTTTTCTTCCAGGACATTGCATAATAATACACCTGTATGTCTAAGAATCAAGATATGAGGAAAAGATCATGTTGTTTCTTACTTAGACACAAACAAGCTTCATGTTTGGATTTTTCTTTTGATTGCAAATTTGAAATTTTGTGTCAGCTATTGGAAACTTTTGATCTTTCTATTCAAATCTTTATGGAAATCAGTTGCCTTACAGGATCTGAATGGCACCCTCGAATTCGCAATGAGAAAAATCATTTCATCTACAATGACTTGCCACGATTTATTATGGATTCCTATGAAGTTTGCCTCGAACCTCCACGTCTGCACTTGCTTGACAAGTATGGTTACTCACATCCGCTCCCTCTTTTTAGCAATGACAAGCATGCTCAAGTAATGTAATTGTGAGATATATATATATATATATATATATGTTGTTTTGGATTCTTACTTCTTCTTTGCAATCAGATTTGATGCTGGTGGCCCAGGATCTTGTTTGAAGAGATATTCAGATCCAACATACTTTAGGAGAGCATCAGGTAGCTCCATTGAAGAACATGCTGATAAAGTCCCAAGAGATAAGAAGTCTCATAAAAGCGAGGTATCATTTACTCTATTAACCATCCGGGCTTAGAATCTTGACAATTTTGAGAAGCATTTATCTACCTTTTGAATAATTTTTCACAATGGTTTTCATTATTGACTCTCAATTCATGTTAATTAATTAATTAAATAGTTTAGTCTTTAGTCAAATGAAATTCTTCACTCCACGATTACTAGGAATGTGTTTGCCTCTAGGACTCCAATGAAATGGAGGTACTCCTTATGTAAATACAACTTTTTCTGGCTCATTTTCCAACTGAATAGTATACATGTTCTTCAATTTGGAATTATTTCTGAATTAAAATTGTCAAAAATGGACAGAAAAGAAGATCATCCCATAGGAATGGCGAACTATCACATGGTGCATCATTATCAAACCACGGTGGCAGGTAACTCATGTGTATGTATACAAGTCAATGTGTGCTCTCTCGTTCTTACAGACGACTTAACATTTTGAATTTGATCATGCAGAATGCAATTTACTTCTTCGATTGTTAATGGGCGGACTTCTCCCTCTCATACTGCATCTACAGTTGACTTGGGACGGAAATCTGATGTGGGAGAGCATTCAAATTCTTTTGATTCAAGAACTGGCTCTGGATACATCAGATGTGTTTTCAACCTAGGTTCATCCTTGCAACCTGAGGAACAGGGAACCAAGGAAGTGTCTTCCAGATTGATGCAAGAAACTGATACCCTTGGTTCTGATTTTCCTGTTGAACAAACACGGTTTATAGATGATAATGTTTCTCATAGTTCATCTGAAAAGCAGATTGCCCCAAGTTCATCTTGTGTAACTTGGGATGAAAAGGCAGAAATAGTGGAGTCCAAAGCAGGAAATTGGGATAGAGATGAAGTTCCAGAGATGAACTTTGATGTAGATGTGTTGGAAACTGGAGCTGCTAATCTTGGAAATGGTCATCAAATGGATATCCTGTTTAATGACATGAATACTTCCCAATCAAGCTCTACTGAGAACCAAAATGATGAAATTGAAAGTGAACCGGATGATTACATGGATGCACTGAACACAATAGAATCAGAATCTGAAAATGATATTGAGTGCCACACAAAACGAGAAGTGGAACAGTTTTCTGAAAATGGTGTTGAGTGCCAAACAAAATGGGAAGTGGAACAGAGTGATGGGGCTAACAACGTTAGCAATGAGAATAGAGAAGATGAAATACATGCTGTTATGTATGATAATGCAGACCATCATCCATCTATAACTGAATCCTCATCTAATATTATTTCAAACAATGGGATGTCCATGAGTTTACCTGATCCAGTCCCCTCAGAGGATTTTGTCAGTGAACAGATGCCTCAAATCTCAGGTAAATCTTCTGATCCTGACCATTCACCAAGTACTGAATTATGCATGAGTGATGAAATTCGTAATGGTTCACAAGCGGAATCTGTCATCTGTGATCCATCATCATCCTCTGGCTCCACAGTTTCCGATAAGCATGATCCAGCAAGTGATAGTGTCATAAACGGTGTCAATGACTCTCAAAACTCCCAGAATGAATTTTATGGTGTGCATTCAGTTGGTTTCTGGACAAATGGTGGCCTTTTGGGACTTCAGCCATCAAAACCTCCTGATTTTGCTGTATCAACTACAGCTCAGGGTTCTGAAGCTAAAACTAGTGAAGCATTTGGTCCTCCAAATCAAACTCTTATGCCTTTGCGTGAAGGACCGAAAGGAAATTCGGGTACAGTGGTTGAGAATGCGGAAAGTACCAAGAAGGTTCCAGGCTCATGTAGTGAGAAAACTTCCCACCCGATAGCTGATTTAGATGCCAACCTTGAAAAGCATGTTAGTTCTCATTGTAGTAATGGTCTTGATAACTTTAATGGTGTTTGCTTGAGCCTAAACACGTCATTGCCACAGGGAAACAAGTGCCCAGTCAATCCTAATGTTAAAGCTATATCTGCTGAATCTGATGAGGAGAATGATGACAACTCATCTAGCATGTTTGAACTTGGCCATAACTTACTTGTAAATGGTTTTCGCAGAAAGTTGTCAATTGGACATGCTGGTGAATCAGAACGAGCCACTTCTACTAAAACTGAGGTATTGGAGCAGAGGAATGGGCACCAGGGCATATCATATCAGAAAATTCCTTGGACAACCTTCAATGAGCGGATTGGAAATGGATCTCCTGTAAATTCACTTACTTCTTCTCCACCACTAGAACACATGAAAATATCTTTCAACCCTATAGATGGATTTGAGACTTCTAAACTCAGACTGCAATTTCCTAATGGGAATCATTATCAAGAAAGTGTCAGGGACATGTTTCCTTCGTTTCAGTTGGTCCCAGTACCTTCTATTCCAGTGCATGATGTTGCTTCGGACTCTGATGATGATACTTTCTGCAGATCATCCCCTTATATGTCTGATGATTGCCTTAGTCATCGCTCTGAGTCAAATTCTGAGCAGTGGGAATCTGGTGAAACACCTGAAAGCAAGGACCCTGAGCTGTATGATACATTAAGCAGATTGTCATCAATGGAATCTGTTTCAAGCTCTTTACAAGTTGGGGAAGTAGCCAATAGTTGCATCCATGTTAATGGGGGAAATAAAACTATAGATCCTGGGACCGGTGCAGAGCCATCTCTATCTGTGTCGCTTGATCTCCCAAGTTTTGATGCCATTAACCCTGTTCTACATGATGAAACCAAAAGCAATTTTGATCAAAAGAATCAAGTAGAATTGCAAAATACAATGGAGCTCACACCATTGCCACCTCCTCCTCCTGCACAATGGCAGGTTTCAAAACCCTGCTTCGCTGAGGCAGAAGATAGACAACATGCTTTATCAGAGTCACTCAGACATGAGCTTGATCTGAAACTTCTGGGATCTATTGTCTCTCAGAAGCCTAATCCACCCTCAGTAAATCAACAACAAATAAATGATGAGGCAATTGCATTAAAACCAGAGAAGAAGGTACTTTAACAGTGTTGTCATCTTTTTCTTTGTTTTAAAATAAAATTTCACATTGAAAAATGTTGTGATGTGGAACTGCTTATAAATCACCCAAATTTTATGCATGCAGCTGGTGAACCAAGAGAAGTTGAATGGGCAGAAAGAGGAAAACCAGCTCAGTGGTGGCAGGGGGATGGAAGAAAAGGAAGATTTCTTGTATCAGATCAGAACTAAAGTGAGTAGTCATTTCTTTCTTGATATGTTGCTATCCATCATCCAAATGAATAATGGGTCCTTAATTTGGATGTACCCTTACAGATGATAATTTCGCTGCTTGAAGAAATAATTTCTTTGATCAAATCCTGGAAAACAAAAGCAGAAAATAGTTATGTAAATATAGCTAAAATATCATTAATCATTTCATGGTTTATTTGTTAATATTTTCACATTTAAAAACACTGATTTCATCTGCCATAAGGATTTGTTTTTGAGATATAAGAGTTTCCCACTTCTCATCTTCTCTCTTTCTCCTACACAAGGAGAAAGGAAAAAGAAATGCCTTTGATATAGGAACAAGCTCGAGTCCATGGGTACAGTTTGAGCACGTTTTATGTTCCTCTTTGATTATGAATATTTTGATACTTCTATGATATCTTCGTGTGGTAGAAATTGAATGTTGTTTCATTGCTTTTAATCATGAGTCACCCAATTTAAATGTGTGGTCTCATGTATCCCTTTAGAATGGACTGGCTATCGTGATAAAATGATGGACTATAATTCATTTGCTTGCTTTTTATTCTTTGTCATTTCAGTCTTTCAGCCTAAGACCCACAGTCACTGCAAAACCAACTGCTACTACTGGTCCCACTACGAGTGTCAAAATTACTGCAATTTTACAGAAAGCACATGCAATTCGCCAGGTTTCCAATTGTACTCTTCACCTTTTGGCTCTTCGGTCTTTTTTTCGTTTGTTCTCTTATGAATCACACCATCAAATTAATAATTATGAAACTTGTTCAGGCTGTTGGGAGTGACGATGATGACAACTGGAGCGACACTTAATTATTTTTGAATACGGGTGCTGAAGAAAATTGGAAGTTCTCCCAGTCTTAAGTTTTCACATTTGGGTGAGGCTGTTTGACATGTTTATAATCCTTGTTTCTTCTTGTAATTAGGTAGTGGGGCTCATCTTGTATCCTGTAGCGATTATTTGCATTCATTTCTTGAATAGTTAATGTTTCGAACAGGTATTTAGGTGTCGTGATGTAAGTTACAACATCGAGGCAATGAATGATTCATGCATAATGCATGAGAAGACGGTAGTCTCACGAGTTCTGTTTTTCATTTTCGAGTTTATTTCAAGCGGGACGCTACCTGTGCCCGCAATTTTCTGTTGTTTCTTTTTTTTTTTTATTCTTTTTTCTTGGAATTGTTATTTCCTTAAGAACAAATCTATAACGAATCATAGGATTTGGTAGACAGTGTAGGATGCAAGGTTATTGCTACCGAAACTTAACATTTACATTACATAAACTAGTGATTGATAATTAAAACAGAGGAAAAACTTTAGTTTCGGAAATTACAATGCAACTTGATATAGATGAATTATTCAGTGCCTGTCAATGATATGTGTAAGGAAGCATCTCATTTTGCGCGTTGAATAGAACGAAAGGGTGGAGTCTCCGGTCGTCTTTAGAACAAGGATCCTGCCAGTTTATACAGCGAATAAATAATGATTGCAATTGCCTGTCTGTCTTGCTTAAAAGTGTCATCTTAAGGCAATTTTCAACGGCAGCAAACACAGAGCAGCGCCCGCGTAATTGCTTGTACGATCAGCCACTAGCTTGGGTTTGAATCACTGCTTTGTTTTCGTTCCGTGTGTTTTGCATTGAAGTTTTCAATTTAGTTGTGAGATTGAAGTCATCTTTTTTAATCTAAAATCTCTTGCTTTTTTAATCTTAAAAAAAAGCCTTCAAACTAAACCAATCAAGTGGATTAAGAATCTTTCAACAAAAAGTAAAATGATTGGAATATTGGGTTTTCCTGCTTTTTTTTTTTTTTGGTTTAATTTGCTTTTTCCACAAAGAATCAAGGGATAAGAACCCAACACCAAGTAAATCAATAAAGAAAAACTAGAATAAGAATTGACAAAATTGATGCCAGCCTACTTATGCTAAACCCTAGATTGGCTTTAGCCAGAACATCTTTCAAAACTGCAACCCACAAATTCTCGGGTGAATTAAGAAACCGTATTTATTTGCAAGTTGCATGTAGCAGCTGCTGCTTCATAGCAAATTACACGAGTCAAAAGGCTCTAGATAAACATTTAAAAAAAAAAAACTGTACGTAGAATTCAAAGATAAAATTGACATACACACCCAAATTCAAAACACACGAGACTTACAAATTCGCAAAGACAGGGTTTGTACTTTCTTAGATCCAGAAACGTTACCTAATTAATTGTTTTGGATTGTTTTTTCTGCGAATTTATAGAAAGGGCGTGATCAGATCATAAATTTAATTATGGGAACAAATAATTTTTTTTATAAAACAATTTGATGAGCTTTTACATTTAGTTTAATTGATTCATATAATTAATTTTAACAATAATATTTAATAAATTTAAAATCTCAGCATTTACTATCATTTTTCTTATTTTTGAACTATAGCCTATTATATATATATATATATATATATATATATATATATATAAACCTATTAAAATTTAGTTCTCATTAACAAATGGCAACCTAATTTATTATTTTGACTAAAATACTAAAAAAACCCTTTAACTATTTAACTTTTTTTTAATTAAGTTCATATATTTTTATTATATTTAAATAAATCTTTATAATTTGATTTTTATCCAAATAAATTTTTATTTCAAATAAAAGAATGATTTATGTTAATTATTTATTTACATACAAATTAAAAGTTTAAAGTTTATTTGAATATAAATTAAAAATTAAGAGTTTATTTAACTGTAAATTCAAAGTTAAAAGATGTATTTAAATACAACAATATTATAATAGTTTATCTAAATAAATTATAAAATTTAAGAACTTGTTATTATTTTAATATTATTTATTTTTCATTTTAATAGTCAAATATGGATAGCCCGAGCCACACGCCACAACACCAACTCAGACTATAGAAGCCAGCTGCAAATTTGAGAGAAGAAAAAACTTAAAGAACAAAGGGACTTCATTAGTTAATAATTAAAAAAAAAAAGAATATGGATAAAATTGTATCCTAGTTAATTTATATCCAAATTTTGTAAGAACTAATAATAGCTATATCAATAACTTTAATGTCATGAAAAATTAAAAATTAAATCTATTGATTTAAAATATAACACAGTAACATAATACGAATACGATGAAAAAATAAATATAAAAGTGATATAATTTAAAATTTAAGTAATAATTATATATGAATTTAATAAAATAAAAAAAATATATATCAATACAAATTATAATACATATTTTTCATATAAAACATAATATAAATATATAAATTTTTATGTTTTATACTACTAGAATATACAAATAATTAAATCTATCAAAAATACATATCAAAATCCATGATGACACAATTACTAATATAAAAGAATGAATAAAGATTATTATTTTGATTATCAATTGTGAATTTCTGATCATAATATTAAAAAACATTTTAAATCAAGAGCCTTTTTCACGGAGACCTGGAAGGCAAGGGTCTTTGGACTCATCTCTCCTTGCCAAACCGGAAAACTAGTACAACATTCTACCGTAATGGTTCTCCTCTTAAATAAGGGAGGCAAGAATCAAATTCGGACCATGCACAAATACAGTGACTTTCAAGTTCGCCCTTGCCACTGGATCATGCCCTGGGTGGGTTATCCAATCCCATCTACCAATTGTATAATGGAAATGAAAGCAAGTTAAATTCTTTCCTTAGTCTTCTAGTGAATAGTGGCACCAAGTACCCAATTGAAATATGAGGCTAAACCCTTTTTTCTTCGAGCCTTTGCCATGCGGGCAAAGCTGAGATATGGGTTCCACCAGGCTTTGGCTTGGCCAGATACTGCTCCCACGTTTAAGAAATGTACTGTAATTCTCTCACAACAAAAGATTGAAAATACATGCATCTATATCAGGCTTTACATTATCTTACTGAACAACTTTGTTTTATTATATTTAATTCTACAGTTTTGCATTTGCCTTAACAAAGCTCCCAAACTACCTAGCATCGATTGGCAAAGGAAAAAAAAAGTGACTAAATAAAGCAATTAAAAATGGAGAGAGACTTCTCAATTAATTTATTTTATTAAAGCAACTTGATAGAATCAAGAACCACAACAACAAGCTTCATGCTACTAAATCTTTAATTTCATCTCCATCGTAGCTACAACAAAAATATCTTAAGAAACTTGATTAGGGCACTCTTTCTTGGGATTAACCCAAACCAAACATCTTTTTTTTTTTTTTCAAAGAATAAATGTGATGAAATAAAGAGTTTACAGCACATAAATTTTAACTTGGTGTAAGAAAAACAAATGAAATTGGGATAAGGACCATAAGGCATATTATTTTTTGTTTTCATCAAATTTTCTACTTGAACAGACTAAAACTTGGTGTACCCTAACTTGTCTTATAGAAAGGGTGCAACTCCATGAATTTTTTTTATAAAAATCTTATCCCTAAAATTTTCCTTGCCATCAGAAGGAAAGAATTCAATCACTAGGAAATGATAAATTGTTTGCATCAAAAAGAAAAAAAAAAGTAAAACATAAGAACCCACAAGTTGTTCCTAGTAATTTCTTTTTGGGTTGTTTTTCCAAAGAAATTTTATCATTAATATAAAAAAATAAAAAAAACAAAAGAAAAAAAAGGCAATGAGCTCATGACTTAATAGATGGGTGCTGCCATAAAGATATCTTTTTTACTTTAATCTTTATGAATGCTTTAATTTTTCTATGTGAAAAGGGAGTTCCAAATCCAAAGCATCGAAAAGAAAAAGTGCTTCTTTTTTCCAACTAAAAGAAACGAAAATGCTTCTTTGTCTACATTATATAATTGGAAAAGGTGAGGCAATTGAGGCAACTTTAGCATTAATTAATTTTAAAGAGAATCCTTTATTAAAGAAAAGGACTAGACTAAGCCCATATCAAACTACTTTCCCTTACAAAATATTTGCAATTGATGAAAAGGAATTGCAACAACTTTTTCATCAAATCCATTGAAACCTAAAAAAGATAGCATAGCATGCATGAAAGCAAAAAGGAATTGCAATTCCATATATAATTATTAATTAATTTGTATCCAACTTCAAGGATTGATATGAAAAATTTTTATGTTATGAAATTATGACCCATTCTTTTGTCTTTTTATAAATTTTTTTTTAATGTCAAGTGATGATGCATAGAACCAAGTTAGCTTATTGGTGGAATCTAATTGGACATGAGATTAATTAATTTAAAGCATCTAAAAGTAACTTTCACTTTTTTTTTTAATGATCACAATATAAAGTGTTTTTTATTTACAGTTGTGATATTAATTAATAAAATGTTGAACTTTTAGTTTTTTATCATATTTATTATTTAATAATTTTAAAATATATAAAAGTTAATATAAATTTTTTTGAAAGGGGAAAAATTTTTAATTACCATTAATTTGAACCCATATTTTAGCACAATTGCAGCCCTATAGTATCGCTCATAGTAAAAGAAAAAAAAAAAGGAAAAAGAAATTCTTGAAGAGAACCAAGTTCTTATTCTTTTTTGTTTTTTTTAAATCAACATAGTTTTTCTCTTTATCAAAGTGATCCATCATTTCATGCATCAATTTCATGCAACTAGTATGGGAATTCCATTTTTTTTTCTCTCTCTTTCTTTAGCTATTGTCTCTTTTTCTTTGGATTTATATAATCTTAGAAAAGAGAAAATGAAAAGAAAACAATAAAAAAGAATTATAGATTTTCAAACCCAAAGCAGGAAGTTTTTACCTTTATATAAATATATATATCTCTTTTTTTGTTTACCCTTTAAATAGTAATAGAATATTATAGAAAAAACCCCGTTTCCATTAAGAACCAAAACTTTATCTCTCAAAATTCTCGATCACCTTGACACTTTGTGCGCAAACCTACCTAGATTGGGACCCACTTTTGGACTTTTTTATATCTTGAATATTGGTGACGTGGAGTAATGATGTGGACAAAAAGCTCATTATCAGCTTTTCCACGCCACCCACCTGGTTCTGGGCGTTGGCGGCTACTCCCTTCTCATGCCCTTCTTTTCTCTTTCAGTTCATAGCACTTTTTTCTTTTCATTTTCCTTTTCCCCAGATATATATATATATATATAACCACTCTCAAACACCCTTTCGCCCTAAACCAAAGAAACTCTCTTATCTGATCTATCGTCTCCCCCCGTCTCTGATTCTGTCTCTGTCACTGTCTTTTGTCTGATCTCTCTCACGATCTAATTAATGGCCATGGCTAACCAAGAAGGGCAAGGGATCAAGCTATTTGGAACAATAATTACGTTGCATGGAAGACAGCAAGTAAAAGAAGAACAAAACAAAACTGATCATCAAACAGCGGATAAGAGACCAGACAAGATCATACCTTGCCCTAGATGCAAGAGCATGGAGACCAAATTTTGTTACTTCAATAACTACAACGTTAACCAGCCTAGACATTTCTGTAAAGGTTGCCAGAGGTATTGGACGGCAGGTGGAGCCCTTCGGAACGTTCCGGTGGGGGCTGGTCGCCGGAAAGCCAAGCCACCGGGTAGTGGTCTTGGTGGTTTCCCCGAAGGGTGTTTGTATGATGGGTCTAGTGGGGTGCACCAGTTTGAGTTGGAGGGGATTGCGTTGGATGAGTGGCATGTAGCGGCCGCTAATGGTGGTTTCCGGCAAGTTTTCCCAATGAAGCGGAGGCGGATAAGCTGTTCAGGTGGTCAATCTTATTGATCCTCAATAATCGTATTTCTTATCTTGTCATTTTTTTTCCTTTGGATTGCGAAAGTTTCAACAAAGATTAAAAAATTTGAATGGATTAATATTGACTAATGCAAATACAGGCTGGTCTTTGATTAATTAGTCTTCTAATGTTACTATTAATTATTATATGGTGGGAATTTAAAAATGCGTAAAAAAAATTAATTTGGATTAAATTAGATGTAGATTAGGGGTCAGTGTTTCAAAATTGTTTAGTCGAATCTTGTATTGAAATTCTAATTAATTAGCTGATCATGGGGGTTCATGTGGTATGTCAGTAGGCCAAAATCAACCTACCGATGAGGAGTCCATGATACAGTTTACCTAATCAAAATTTGAGATCACCGGCAACGTTGATCAAGTGATATGGATCGATGCGGAATCATCATCATCATCATCAGTATCATCTTTGATTATGCATGTGCTATAAATTGGATGGCAAATATTCATCGGACGAAGGGTTGATGCATGGTTCGCGTAGGTAAATGGAATGAAACTGCTACGATTTTATGTATAACGTCGAGACTTTGGAGCAAAACCCTGGAAGAATTCTAATCGCATTAGTTCATATTCATCGAGAATGTGAATATTTTGATCTCTGGAGAGTCCTGTGATGTCAATGGGTCTTCAATCAAGGAGAGTCTTGTGATGTGAATATAGTATTACTCATTGTAAAAAAAAAACAGTTGTATATAATTCATCTAGTAAATTCAATATTTTGAGTAGAAAAAAAAGTATAAGAAGAAATCTTCCTTTTCTTTTGTTTGACTGCTGCTTGATGAAGTTTGGGGTATGGACCTTAACCTTGACATATAATAGGTTCATTTTTTAAAAAATTTGATTTTAAGTTGGATTTTTTCACAAATTAAATTTGAAATTTTTTTTTTCCATTTGAGATGAAAAGAAGGATTGTTCATTTCTTGAAGAATCAATGCTTATTCTTGATATTATTCAGTGTTGGAAATGAACAACTTGGCTTGAGTTTTGTCAACTGTAAGTCGATGTCATATACAGTAGTATTCAGCGGCATAGCTTAACTCATCTTCTTTTTTTTCGCCCAAGAAAAGGATCATGAGCCTCTAGTCCCAAAAAGACACCAGCACTCCAAAAAGTATCACTATCTCAACTGACTTGATTGGCGACAACTCTTATTTGATCCCTCTTTTGTACCTATATATAAATTTGTAATTACTAAAAAGATTGAACCCAAAATGAAGCCTGTTGCTTTCATATTCATCCCAATTATCTAGTTTGAACTGCTGGTTATAATGTTGGCAAGCTGAATATAACTGTTTAACAATATTGAAGTTTGGTGTTCCTTCTTTGTTTTCTGTCTTCCCTTTTGCCTCAGGGATGAAAACAGAAAAAACAGATGCCTTCGTACTGAATGTTGAAACTGGTAAGGGCATCTTTAAGTTTAAAGTAGTGCAGTGAATGAGTATATAACTTCCGAAAGAACAAGAATAATATTCCATGGGAAGGCTTCCTACACAGTCCTTTACTCTTCTTCAAATCTGTTTTGTCAAATAAATTTCATTTTGAAAATGACATTTTGTGACAAGATTCCTGCCAAGTGCATGGATGAAATCCTAAATTCTTTGTAAGTGGTTATCGAGTATCTGTAATTTTTTTTTTTTGGCCAATCGAGTATCTGTATTTAAATACAATGAATGAACACTAAAAAGTGTGAGAATTGTAGATTCAAGTGATCAATGATGCTATGTAAACAACAACAACACAAAACAGCGTATGTAGAAAATGACTGGGTACTACAATAAATAGAGGTCGAGATTTCAGTTGAGGAGATATAATTCCCTAAAGCACAAGAGGCAAACATATAGGAAATAAATTGAATGTGGAATGTAAGAATGTAGTGCTGTTTCCCTCTATCAAAATCCCCACAAGATTTTCATGTTTTAGATAAAGCTGGCGAAGAACATATGAACCACGACAAAGAAGTATATACAATTCATGCTAATGTGTCATCTCAAGGGAACAAATTAGAATGGTTTCACAGCTCAGTAACTAATGATACAGTTAAATGCTACTGTAAACCAATATCTAAACTAATGAAAGCTCGCCCATTTTGTGCCATAAAGTTGCAAAACAAACTTATCAGCAATGTTTTCTATCTACTTTGTTCTACTATCAGCCTGTCGGGGTTGAAAGTAAAAAAGAAAAGAAAGAAAGAAAGAAAGGAACAGATGTTCAGTGGTGGCATCTAGAGTTCTAGACTAGTCCCGTCCTTGGCCTGAATTTGGTTGGTCATCCTCATTTTTAGGCTGGACCCCCCTGATGTCCTGTGTTTGCTTGGTTGCCATCTTTTGCAGGCTGACCCCCTTGTGCTGATGTGCTTGCTTGGTTGCTTTGAGATCTGATAAAACGAATGAACAGATATAAATTAGACTAAATACAAAAATTCCTCATGAGTCATACCTCATTGTAGTGGAAACAGAGTGATAATACATACAAATTCATGTTTAAGTCATAGACCTCTCAGATAAAGAACATTAAAGCAATCCCTTATTGCAGGGAATTTTTTATACTTGGCCACATGTCCAACTACATTCAATAATCTATTGTCTTAGCTAAGATATACATATTTGGTTTGATGATGCAGATGCGGTAACATTTGAGTTGGGTTGGGCTGCAAATGAAACCAAACACGTTGTGCATCCCAGAATTAGGTTGCTTACTGACAGTATTAGTCCGGTTATTGAAGGGAAAGGCCTACTTGATATGGGGGTGGTTGGGGTATGTCGTTGGAATGGGTGCATATTCTCAGAAAAGAAACGTACTAAAGAATTCCCACTAAGAATGGAATCCAATGCTGAAAAATTGAAAATCAATAATCCTAGTTGACCCGTTGACTAGAGTAGATTAAAGAAGTTGACGTTTTGTTTGAGCATTCAAAAATTTTCAGGACCAGCATAGGCAATTTTATTGTTACCTAAAACTGAAACTGTGTGCTATTTAAAGCAACAGTAAGACTCTGATCAAAGCAGAACATGTAATGCAAAATAATTGAAAAGAATCTTAACAGTGCACCCTTTGGAACAAAAATTCCAGGAAGAAAGTCGATAGAAACTTCCAAGATTCTAACCGATTAGAAATAACAAAGAAAGAGAGAGACAAGTCAAAAGTCACCATAAGAGATGCAAGAAGAAACTATTAATTGGAATCTATAAATACTTAAAGAAGAAGCAATCAATAAGAAGGATCAAAAACAAAAATATTTTGACAAAAAGCCCAAAGAAAGAAAAGCAAAAGTTACTAATAGAGAGACTAACAAGAAGTCAATAAAACATAAGAAAAAGAAAGCAACATACCCACTTCCAGGATAGAACCAACTCCCATTTTGCCATTCAAGATGAAGCCTAACTTTATAGAAAGCACAATGCTCTTCATTCCCATTACAATCCAACTTCACATAGTAGTTAGGATCAACTTTTCTTGTAACAGTTCCCACCCGCCAAGCGAAGTTGACATAGGCGTCAACCCTGTCAGACACGACGAAGTTGGTGTAAGAAATTTCTGGGGGCAAAGGCCTGACTTCATCCGAGTCAACAGCTTCAGTAAGGTACCTTGTTCCGTCGTCGGTGAAACGTGTATCGTAACGTACCAAGTACTTGTTCCTTCCTATTGCAGCCAGAAGAGTTGCATTGTAGTAAGTACCTGAGAACCCTTCTTCCTTCTTGCATATCTCCACAGGTTCTTTGTGTTTAAAACTCATTGTTTTGGAGCCTTGAAGGAAGAGAAAAAGGGATGGCGGCGGTGGAGGAGGTTTCAAGAGGGGTTAAGGGGTGGTGTTAAAGAATGATTCTTGAAATGGGAAGAGAGTCAAGAAGGGACGGACAATTCAGATTTTGAAAGCTTTGTATAGCGACGTTTTTATATGAAAAACAAACGGTCTAAAGGCGTTTAACACTTCTTAAGGACTCGTTAATATCAGCCGTTAGATTGATTCTTTTATGATTCCACACAGCTTGCCACCCGGTCGTCCCCTAAAATCATACTGTATACTACTTCTATGTTAATTTCCATATCCAAAGTTTCAACATTTAATTTAGGAAGATAAAAAATAATAATTTTTTTTTCAATTTTTAGAAGGAAATAGATTCTGAAATTTATTATATATACAATAACTTAGTATCAATTTTCCTTTTGTTACGGTATACTTTGAAGAATGGAAGAATACAAAACCTTTCTTTCATGTGTACTAGTAACTTTCCAGGAAAAAAAAAATCTTGATTACCATATTCTCTTTTATAATAACTCATCTTTCTTTGCTGGTTGGATAACCATGTTTACATCACACAAATTAAAATAATTTATTCTTCAGTAAATTGAACAGAAAGTAGAAAAAGATAATCATGATCTCAATGTACAGTGAGCAGAGGAAAATTACAAACTTTCAATAAAATTTCTGTCAAATTTAGGATTTATGTAGCTTATCTTTTCTTTTCTTTTTTCTTAAATTTCTACTCTATCCTTAATCCCTTAAATCTTATCTATCTAATTTAGGACACTACCCGCTTAAGTTTTTTCCAAATTATAATCTTTAAAATTTTATTTAACATGCATATCATTTGATCTAATACTCAATTGACATTTATGCAGCTGATCTATTTATTAGTAATCCGATAACAAATTTAAATATTGCTACAATGGACGATGTTATATACATATAAGAAGTATGCATACCTGTGTACACGTAACTGTTTTGTCATGGTATTTTTGAAAAATAAAACAATATGATGGCTTTTTAGTCAGGTTTGAAAAACAAAGTCAGTTATGTGTATATTTGTATGTTTTCTTTTATGTGTATATAACATTTCCCTACTAAAATTTTATAATTTCAAATCATACATATAGAGATATTTCAGGAATTGAAAGTTAAATTACAAACCGGATAAATGTTGCTCTAAATAATTTTTAAGTTCCAGATTATCCAATTTCATGTATCCAATTAAAAAGGCTACACAAGAGATTCATTTTACCATATGTAATTGTTAGGGGCATTTGATGTTTAAAAATGTATAGTAATTTTTTTTTCCTCTCAAAGACTTCAGCAGATAATCAAAGGTATCTTTGTTATTTATACCAATCTAAGTTGACATGGTTAGCACCATCTTAGCTCGACCTTATCCTAATTGTATTCTTATGATCCTTTTTAGCTTACCTATAAATATGAAGACTGAGGCATTATGAAAGCAGGTTCATCTCATTCACTTCTCTTTCTCTTTCCTACCTCTTGCTTACCTAATTTTTACTGACTTATGTGTTGGAGTGCAAACACAGGGAACATGCCCTGCCTTTATCTCTAAATCTCATTCTCTTTTATATTTATAAGAATACCCATTAGGTCGGAGGTCGACACCAACATTTGGCGTGCCAGGTAAGAGATCCCATATTAGTTGAGCACAAAATAATACCAAAAAAAAAACCCCTAAAGGAATGAGAGGCAGTCATTTCGATTGAAACAAAAACTCACCTTAGCCAGTATTTTGTTTGCCTAGCTCAATCACAGCTGGGACCGACTATGAAACAATTTCAAGCTTTGACAGAACAAATACAAGTTATCAAGCAAATGCTTCAAACTATAACCCCACCACATGTTTCAAAAGTGACGAACTTAATCACACCTAACTGAAAAGCCAATGTCAGACAACCAAACTATGAAGAGGCAGAGGCCTCCTCAGTTGTTAGAGAAGAAAAACACACAAACCTAACTCATCACTGCTTTAGCCATAATTTCACACATGCCACAACCCAAAAATTTAAACAAACAAATCGTGAATTTCAACTGAATAAAGATTTGAAAGCTCAGATGTAAGCCATGAAAGAGGTGCTAAAAATGAAGGCAGTGGCATTTGAGAATAAGCTCAAGTTCCTAGAGACTTCACTCTTTACTGAAGAAATTAACAGAGCCATGCCTCTTAAAGGATTTAAAATGCCAACCTTGGAGACATACGATGGTACTTCTGACCCTCTGATTATTTGAAACTTTATAGAACTAACATGATAATGTAGGGGGCAGACAATGCTCTAATGTACAAAGGTCTAGCCATTATATTAAAAGGCACAACTTGGTATTGGCATAGCAACCTAAAGCTGAAGTCAATCATTATATTCAAAGAGCTCAGCTACTTATTCCTATCTAGATTAGTGAGTAGTAAAAAAGCAAAGCAAACGACCCTAAGCTTGATATCAATTCACGAAGGGTGGAATGAAACTTTGAAAAGCTATGTCACGTATTTTAACACAAAAGCTCTACAGGTTAAAGAATTGAAACAGACGGTCGCTATTATTGCACTGACAAGTAGACTCAATGATAAGGATTGTAGACACCCACTTGTGTTCAGGCCTAAATAGGCCCATTGACATCTAGGCCCAATTGGGCCCGCTTGTGTCTTGGCCCAAGCAGATCCATTGACGTCAAGGCCCAACTAGGCTCATTTGTGTTTGAGCCCATTGACGTTCGGGCTTGATTAGGCCCATTGATGTTCGGGCCCGATTAAATCCATTGGCATTTAGGCCCAATTAAACCCATCTTTGCCCAGTTTCAATTAGATGGTTTTTTAAGTTGACTATATTATATCATATTATTATTATTATTATTATTATTATTTTATTTATTATTTTTCATTTTTTTGTTTTTTTCCTTTACTGCTTTCCTTTTATGTTTCAATCCACACGTGCGCAAAAGAGTGAATCATGATCAGAATCTCTTGGTGAAATTCAATCAATGATTGCTAAAATTTTGGACCTAAAATCTCGTATGGACAAAATGCAATCCTACGATTCAAGCCTAGGATTCATTCTGTCCATTTTCTAAAATCATTCTTAAGGTTGCCTATAAATTGGACTAATTTCTATAGAGAAACATAGAGGAAAATTTTTTTGAAAAAGGTCTAGAAGAATTTTGGCAGTAAGGATTTCTGGGATTTGAAAGTTGAGATTCAACGTTTAGTTTGAAGTTATGGGTGTGATTTTAGATTTTTTGAGGTGAATTTAAGGTTACAGGAGGTTCGGGGAAGGTTTAGAGCTATTAGGGATTTTTTTATATATTTTTATATTTTTAAAATTTTTTTGGGGTTTTTGAAGAATTTTAAATTTTTCAACGAAATTTTCTAGCAAAGGTTAAAGTTTCTAGTGAAATTCTGGTCAAATTTTCAGAATTCAGCATGTTTTACAGAAATTGATGGATTTTTTAATTTTCGGTTGAATTTTTTGATGACGTTCCCAGAAACCGATGAGATTTTCAGTTTTCGATTGAATTTATCGATGGATTTTTTAGAGAAAAGGTAGAGAAAAAAATGGTTAGATAGAGAAAATAGATGAGGCTTTTGAAGGAAAACGTTGAAACTTGACTTTTATACTGTAACTAAACAACATCGTTTTAAATAAGCTAAGATCAACGCGTAGAACCGGTAACCTGCGTGCATACCCACGCTCTAACCCGACCCGATCGCAGGTTTTTCTTTTTTCATTTTATTTTTTTATTTTAACCTATTTTTATTATTTTTTGGTTTTACTTAAAAAAAAAGGTTATTTATGCCACTTCTATTGCAAAAAAATATATAAAGAAATAAAAAAATAATTCTTAAAAAAAATCTTTCAAAAAAAATAATAAAAAAATATTTTTAAATAGACAATAATAATTTTTATCCTCTAAACTATTGGAAGATTGCTTTGAGGTGAGCCTTACCAAACTATTGGGAGGCTTCATTAATATTTTTGAAAAAATTAATAATCCGATGACGATGCCTCTTCAGAGTGGGACACTAGTCTTCATGAATACTCTTGAGGTGAAAGAATTATCCTAGGTTGCTACCAAACTATTGCGATAATTTTAGGGTTAATTTTTAATATTAAATTATTTAGAGAAAATCATAATAATAATCAAAGCTTGGATAATTTAAAATCAAACTGGTATCATCTTTTGGATGGGCATTATGAAGGTATTATAACTTTTCTTATACATAATCGACTCTCGAACCTAACATCTATTTTGTAGATCAAATTCAATCAAGTGGTCAATCACATTTAGATAAAAAAGATTGGTGGTGACTCTTCTAAATCATGTCTAATGGTAAGTCCACGGATTTATACATTATGACAGTTTGGTGACTCCATTAGGGACATTGAGAGTCAAGCCAGCAAATGAGTTCTTATTATCCAAGCTTTGCTTAATAAGTTTGAAATTATTTTTTATTGCTTATATCTGCTCTATTGTTTATTTTTCTTGTGTATACCTGCTTATATTTACTTGATTATTTATTTATTGTATATATATACTTGTCATACATTTGCATATGTATAACATATGCCTTCCACTAGTGCTTTACCTTTAGGAAAAAATGAAGTACCTATGCCCTCATGAGATTTCATGTCTCTGTATGGGCCTATGAAACATTCCCACTCAAATTAAATCCTTTCCATTTATAACCTATGATGGGTGATGATTAGGGTATCTTACTAGTCTGTAATAGACCATGATGTAAGGAACAATTTGGAGACCTTTTAAAATTAACCCAAATCATATATAGTCAACCTTAAAAGCCCAACTATAGATAGAGCCTTGTCTTTTCACTTTTTGTAGATAGTCTAAAATTCAAGGTAATGTTGTTATCTTATTTGCTATGTGATGTTTATTTTATGTTTTGTTGAAGTGATTAACTAATCTCTTTATCTTCTTTCATTTCTTTCTTTTTTTGTGCATATTCATAAACATATTTACAGATTGTATAGTATTCTTACCCTAAAGCTATTTCAACAAAAGCCTTCATGGATTTCATGGAACGTTAGGTTTGTACTTCATCTACACTGTTCAAATGTAACTCTCTTTTAGATGTGAGGATGGAATCAGAAAAAAATAGTTAGAAGAAAGAGACTGTTTGCCA